GGGGGTGGGGTTCGGGGACTGCACCAGCTCCAACCGCTTGGGCGGTGCATGCTGCTGTGGGTAGCGGAGGAGCAAAGCACGTGGTTGGGGCTGGCGCGGTCCGAGACTCCTCACTCTCACTCTTCCCCAACCCCCTCCCCCCCCGGAAGGCATCAGGCGTGTGATGGACTGGCGTTTCAGGTACCACTCCGCTGTTTGGGGGAGGGGGGAGCAGTCCGCACACTTCCTTGGCCTTGGCATGCAGCTGCAGGATCCCCAGGTACCAGTCCCTGTCCCCTCCCCATGCTCAGACCCCCACAGGCACCCTGCCCGGCACCCACCAGCACCCTGTCCCCTGTGGGGCTCCCTCCCCGTCTGACCCCAAATCTGAGGCTATCATATACTGGAACCCCCTGTCCTGAGCCTCTCACATCCCCAAACTCCTGCACCCCCACATCCTCAGTCTTCCGCCACAACACTCCTGCGCCATCCACACACTGCAAATGTGTCCTGAGGCCATCATACTCCCAACCTCCCTGCCCTGAGCCCCTCACAAACCCCAACCCAAACTCCTGCACCCTCCCAGCCACAAGCCTGTGGTTTGCTCAGCACCCCAACCTTCCACCTGACCCCAAGACTCACTAGCCTGGAGCCCCCTCCCTGAGCCAGCATCCCTTTCTCCACTTACTCCTGCATCCAAATTTCCTCCCAGACCTTGCACCTCTCGCCCTTTCCCACACCTAAATCCCTCGTTCCCACTCTTGAGCCTGCACCTCCTGTCTCAACCCAGTGAGGCTAGACTGCAGGAGTTTTTCCAGCAAACATGCTCTTTTGGCAGCCCCTGTATTCCTCGTTCCATGAGGAATGAGGGGGCTTCCAAAAGAGGGGCTTTTTCTAACATTTGGCCCAGTCTAGATGGGCCGAATGTCAGAAAAATTTCTTCCAACAGAAGGATCGAAAAAAAGCAGCAGTGTATAAGGGCTGGGGATAGCAAGTGATGGTGAGAAGGGGAACAGAGGGCGGGGTCTTGGGGAAAGGATGGGGTAGATCTTGGCTTGTCCTGACATTTAAAAAGTGATCTTGGGTATGAAAAGGTTGGAGACCCCCCTTCATTAGAGCAAAGGCAAGTGTCTGTCTGCTGGAGTTTGCCAGAGGAAAGAGCTAACTAACCTCACTGTGTTTCTGCTCCAGGTTCTGGTCTCCACAGCAACGCTGGCCTGGGGTGTTAACCTTCCGGCTCACACAGTCATTATCAAAGGGACGCAGGTGTACAGTCCAGAGAAGGGCCGCTGGACTGAGCTGGGTGCTTTGGACATCCTGCAGGTAAAGGTTTGGTAACACAGCTGCTCTGACCATCCACAGCAGGACCCTGTTACTGGAATCTGCCTCCTGAACCCTCCATGTGATCAGCTTCGTGCATTTGACATCACAACTGCCTGTATGTCCCATAGGAGGCATCCCATCTCCAGTCTGCCCCTTTTTCCTTCTTCCACCCCAGCTGGAATGTCTCAGCTGCTCACACTACTCCACATAACAAGTATGCTGGTTGGAATAAGGACAGAGGAATGGCCCACAGCATTGTGTGTATCTCCTGCTTTGTAGCCAATAGCCGAGCACTGACTGGTCGTGTTTCGTAGTTGGCTAAGCTGGAAGCTCTTTGCTGCATTTGACACAGCCTTTTATTTGTCTCAGATGCTCGGACGTGCTGGGAGACCCCAGTACGACACAAAGGGGGAGGGGATCCTCATCACATCCCATGGAGAGCTGCAGTATTACCTCTCCCTACTCAACCAGCAGCTTCCTATTGAGAGTCAGATGGTGTCGAAACTGCCAGACATGCTGAATGCGGAGATTGTTCTGGGGAATGTCCAGAATGCAAAGGTGAGAGTAAGGGGGTGCCACCCCTGTCCCCCAGTTGTGCTGTTTGGTAGGCCCACTATAGAAATGTTTGCATTACACCTGATCTCTGTTCCTGACTGCTGGTGGAGATGTGAGTCCCTTGTCTTCAAGGATCAGTGGCCATTCTTGGTGGCTTGATGGACAGACTGCTTGTAAAGGCACAGAATACACTGGTCCGCCCTGGGCGATGTCTTGCATATCCATGTGCCTTCTAATGCTGTGTGTGGGGATGATAGAGAAGCCAGCCTGTCACTGGGAAGGGCATGGCATTGGGTGGTGACAGGCAGATGGAATAACTGATGGAGCACATATTCAGTCCTATGGACAATTGAAATTGTCTGTAAGTGAAGCATTTTGGCTGTCCTGTGACCTTTGGTTTCCTGTAAGTGAAGCATTTTGGCTGTCCTGTGACCTTTGGTTTCCTGTTGTTGCATGAGTTGGGAATAGAATAGGGTCTTCAGGCAGAGACTGATGATTTTTGCTTCCTGGTACAGGGTAGGTGCTCTAAGAAACGTTAGCCCTGAAGGCATTGATGTTAATCTGTGGTCTGTCAGTTTCTGGATCTCATGCTTACATCTAACTTTCTTGGCCGGAAATACTTTACTTTCCAGCATGGCTTTGCTGGTCAGGATGTCTGAAATGGGTGCTCTTTCCCACTTGCATGTGGGACAACCAAGCTCTGAGGATAGAAAACACTTATTTTGCACATCAGTGGTTCTGAAGATCATGGTCTCACCCTAGGACAGAAGGATGGTGCAAGTTAAGGTCAGTTATTAGGACAGTTTGCCAAGGCTAGGAGCTGCCTCTTCTCAGCTTTGAATGATGTACACACATAGTTCTAGTTCTGAGATTTCATGAGACTTTAAAACTTCCCCAGTTTACTTGACCTGGGTTCACAGTACAGCGAGCTTGGAGCCTGGAACCAGTGTCCCCATAACTTCCTGTGCTGGGCAGTGGTTTGCTAGCTCAGCTGAAGTATGATGGTTTTTGGTCTCTGCGTAGGATGCGGTGAACTGGCTGGGCTATGCCTACCTGTACATCCGAATGCTGCGCTCCCCGTCACTCTATGGGCTGTCTCATGACGACCTAAAGGGAGACCCGTTGCTGGACCAGCGCCGGCTGGATTTGGTTCACACTGCAGCACTGATGCTAGACAAGAACAATCTTGTGAAGTATGACAAGAAGACGGGGAACTTCCAGGTGAGGCGGGGAAGAGGGCATGACTCACTGGAGCCAAAGGGAGGGTTATGTTGGCTGGGGAGACAGGTACAAAGCTGCCTTCTAGAGGTGGCCACAGGCAGAGCCAGTGATGCCTAGGGAGCATTGGGGTTGTGGGCTTGCCAGCCAAGAGCTCAAGGGAGTCACTGGTCTGAAGAGACAGAGGAGCTGGTTGGAGTAGTTCCAAATATAAGTGTTGCCACGCACACAGCTGCCTTCTTGCCTGGGGCTGGAGGGAGGGAACTTGGGCTCCGACACAATGAACCTTCTCCCTTGGGGGTTCCTGTGTTCCTAAGTTACGGGCGCTCCCCCCTGTGCTGCCCAGCTTCATTCAGCATCTTCCAGGGGGCTCCTTTCTGCTGGCTCAGCCCCCCGCTTGCTCACTGCAGACTGGAGTTGTATTTTCCTGCCTCCCCCAGGTGACAGAGCTGGGCCGCATTGCCAGCCACTACTACATCACCAACGAGACTGTGCAAACCTACAACCAGCTTCTGAAGCCCACCCTGAGTGAAATTGAGCTTTTCCGTGTCTTCTCGCTCTCTTCAGAATTCAAGAACATCACTGTGCGGGAGGTAGGACTCTAGGGCTGGGAAGGGGCTTGCGAAGGCAGGAGAGCTGCTCTCTTCTGTACCTGGAGGGCTGCCAGGCTCATCCCATTATCCCACCAGTTCATCCCATCCCAGGCTGGCTTCACCGCCCACCCCTTGTGTCCCTGCAGGAAGAGAAGCTGGAGCTCCAGAAGCTGCTGGAGCGGGTCCCCATTCCTGTGAAGGAGAGCATCGAGGAGCCCAGTGCCAAGGTGGGGAGCTAGACAGCACTATGATCCTGAGTGGCAGGGGCAGGCTCTACTTCTCTTCTGTAGTTCAGGGAGGCATGGGCCTGCTGCCCTGGGAACACTCCCTGCTCCCTTTCCTTTGTGCAGTGTCCTGCATAGACTGCTGCTGCTTTCCTGCAGGACCTCCCCAGCTGACCAGCCAGGAGCTCTTCTCTCCTCCTGAAGACTTTGGCTAACTCCTGTTCTGCTCTCTGCAGATCAATGTGCTCCTGCAGGCCTTTATCTCCCAGCTGAAGCTGGAAGGGTTTGCTCTGATGGCAGACATGGTGTATGTCACCCAGGTGAGTAGGAATTCCCAGGCGTGGAGTCAAGTCTGCTCTTTGGGGGCCTGGAGGGTTCATGTTTGGTAATTGCTTGGATGACTCCTAGGCTGTGAATTTGTAATGGACTAATTCCTGTCAGCTGCATGGTGGCCCTTCTTCGAACCCGTCATGCTTTGCTCATTAACGAATGGACACATGAAAATTGCTGCAGAGGAAAGCTAATTGACTTTGAGGAGAGATTACATCATGTTCTTGGCTCTGTAGCCACTCTCAACTCTGAAATCTTGACACGTTAAGTCCCATTAACACACCCTGTCACTGCCTGTAATTGACCCACGTAGTCCTGTGGCTGGATGGTGGAGTAGGTGGGCGGGAGGAGTCGTTTCCTTGATTGGAGCAGAAGCAGGGCAGTTGTGAACTGGAAATCCCCCTAGCCTGATCCTCCAGTGACTGTTGACACACTCTTATCCCTCACGGGCTGACCATTCTCATGTGCCCCTGCCAGTCTGCCGGCCGGCTGATGCGTGCGATCTTTGAGATTGTCCTGAACCGGGGCTGGGCACAGCTCACCGACAAGACTCTGAACCTCTGCAAGATGATTGACAAGCGGATGTAAGTGATGGCTCTACAGTGCTCTGATTTCTTCCTGCCTGTAACACAGCTAGGTATCCTGGCTGCCCAGGGTGAAGCTGCTGGGGGGGAATGGATGCGCCCTGTTCTCCAGGTGCTTTGGCCAGAGAGGCTGGTGGTAAGGGGGGTGGATAGTGGGTGCAGAACACTGATGGGCACCGTGATGAGTTCTCTCCAGGCCAGCAAGTGACGGGGGCTGCTGGGACAGCTTGGTGCTGGCTGTGCTGTTGGCATAGCTGGACCTGCAGAGCCTGTTGTAGCCAGAGACGGTGCTGCCTAGTGTGTGCTGTGCTGGGGCTCTTGGTGGCCGAGTTCCATGGCTGGGAATGTGGAAGTGCTGTCAGAGCTCTGATCTCAGGGAATGGTGGTGAGCATTGAGTTGTCATGAGATAAGAGGGAAGGTCCTTTTGTGCCTTGTTGATGACTGGTTAAAAGGCAGGAAACAAAGGGTAGGAATAAATGGTCAGTTTTCTGAGTGGAAAGAGGTAACTAGTGGGGTCCCCCAAGGGTCTGTCCTGGGATCCTTCCTATTCAACTTATTTATAAATGATCTAGAGAAAGGGGTAAACAGTGAGGTGGCAAAACTTGCAGATGATCCCAAACTGCTCAAGTTAAGAGCAAAGCAGACTGAAGAGCTTCAAAAAGATCTCCGCAAACTAAGTGATTGGGCAACAAAATGGCAAATGAAATTTAATGTTGATAAATGTAAAGTAGTGCACATTGGAAAACATAATCCCAACTATACATGCAATTTGGCAACAACTACTCAAGAGAGATCTTGGAGTCATTGTGGATAGTTCTCTGAAAACATCAACTCAGTGTGCAGCAGCAGTGGGTAAAAAAAAGAGAATAAGACAGAGAACATCTTATTGCCTCTATATAAAACCATGGTTCGCCCACATCTTGAATACTGCATACAGATGCAGTTGCCTCATCTCAAAAGATATATTGGCATTGGAAAAGGTTCAGAAAAGGGCAACAAAAATGATGAGGGGTTTGGAACAGGTCCCATATGAAGACAGATTAATAAGACTTGGACTTTTCAGATTAGAAAAGGAGAGACTAAGGGGGCAATATGATAGTCTATAAAATCATGACTGGTATGGAAAAAGTGAATAAGGAAAAGTTTTATTCCCACAATGTAAGAACTAGGGGTCACCAAATGAAATTAATAGGCATCAGGTTTAAAACAAACAAAAGGAAGCTTTTCTTCACTCAGCACAGACAACCTGTGGAACTCCTTGCCAGAGGGTACGGTTCTAGAACTTTTAACAGGATTCAAAAAAAGCTAGATAGATTCATGGAAGTTAGATCCATCAATGGCTGTTAGCCAGGATTGGTAGGAATGATGTCCCTAGCCTCTTTTCTCTGGAAGTGGGAGACGGGAAGGGATCAAGTGAGGATTACCTGTTGTGATCCCTCCCTCTGGGACATGTGGTACTGGCCACGGTTGGCAGACAGGATACTGGGCTAGATGGACCTTTGGTCTGACCCAGTGTGGCTGTTCTTATGTTCTTAGCAGTCTCTGGGTTCATGGCACTGGAGTGACTCTTACCTGAGCTGTGACAGGGATATGGATGCTGCAGTGGCACCATTAGAAAAGCTGACATCTGTCTCAATGGTAGGATGTGTGGCCCTGTGGGCCTCTTGGCCCTGATGTTCCCTTTCTGACTCCTGTACCCACTCGTCCCTATAGGTGGCAGTCTATGTGTCCCCTGCGCCAGTTCAGGAAACTGCCTGAGGAGGTGGTGAAGAAAATCGAGAAGAAGAACTTCCCCTTTGAACGTCTCTATGACCTGAACCACAATGAAATAGGTATGGGAGGGGTCATCTGGACCCAGGGGGCTACTTGTGGTACCTGTGCTGGAGCTGCTCACAGCTTCACCACTTTCCCTTCTTTGCTTTTCTGCCATGGAAGCCCTGCACTAGTGCAGCCTGGTGGCTTGTGGGGGCTAGAGGGCATTGCACTCTCATTTGCCAGCTCCACATCCTGACAGAGTAAAAGATGTCAGGGGAACAATGCCTAGGTCTGCCAGGTTTCTGCATCCTGTCTCTTCCTGGGACCACTAGATGCGCCTGTTGCTGGATTTTATACCTTGATGCCAAAACTCCTTGGGGCACTCACCAGCCTTTTGTTTGTATAGCACCTAGCGCAGCGGGTCCTGGATGGGGGCCTGTTGGTGCTACTACAACACAGATAACCTCCAGGGTGTGGTTTGGCCTGAGGGCAGCTGAGTGGGATCACTGTGCTCCAGATATGAAACAGCTGTCACTGAATTTGAGAAGCACTGAGTGGGGGGGGGTTCCATCTGCTTGCTCATTCTGTTCCCTCAGCGCTGGTCATAACACCCAGGTCTCTGCATTACAGGAGAGCTCATTCGGATGCCCAAGATGGGCAAGACAATCCACAAGTATGTTCATCTGTTCCCAAAGCTGGAGCTGTCTGTCCATCTCCAGCCCATCACCAGGTCCACCCTGAAAGTGGAGCTGACCATCACCCCGGACTTTCAGTGGGATGAGAAGGTGAGAACTGACCTTGGAGACGTGCTCCTGGCAGCCTAGCTCCCGGGGATAGGGAGCAGCTTGAAAACCCTGACATCTCATGAGCTGCTTCTGGACTCTCCCCCATGTAGCTACAGAGAAGGTGAAGGGGAGACTGTCACAGCTCTGCTGTGGGGCTAGAGTCCGGCCTCTGCTAGCCAGGAGCTCAGCCTGGCTCCCTCATGGCCTGGGCATCTGCAGATCTGTCCATGCTGAGGGTTTGTGGGCAGGGCTTGCCTTTGTTGGGTGGGTCAGACAGTGAGGGAGCCAGGTGCTATGCTGCAAAGCTCGCTACTGTCTCGCCAGGTGCACGGCTCATCTGAAGCCTTCTGGATCCTGGTGGAGGATGTGGACATTACAGTAAGGGGTGGGGTCAGGTTGAAAAGGGAGGGGAAGGAATTTACATTTAAAAATGAAAACAGGAAGGAAAGAGAAGAGCCAAGCACCTCCTCACCTTCTTCGTGCCAGTGTTCGAGCCCCTGCCCCCACAGTACTTCATCCGGGTGGTATCTGACCGCTGGCTCTGTGAGTCTCCACCTGCGTTGTGGGCTGAATTGCAGGGGCTCTGGAGCCCAAGCTCTAGTGAGGGGAATGCTTTGCTGGCCAAGCAGTGGGGATTGGCGGCAAGTTGCCTCAGGAAGGAACTTTTTATAAGGGCTTTCGTAGCCCCCAGTTAGGGGTGGGTTGAACCACACATGGAGCTGAGCAGCAAGACCAATGCAGATTCCTGCCCTTGGGACAGAGCAGGCAGTTGCCAGCTGGGGAGACCTACTGCTGGGAGGGGAGGGGCGTGGCAGTGGTGAGGAAATGCTGGTGGGGAGCTGCAGCGGAGATAGTTAGTGGCTTTCTCTGGCGGTGGGGAAGAAATGGCTGTGATCACCCCTCTCGTTTTGAAGTGGTTGTATTTGCTTTGTGGGAGAAATCCAGTGCTGAGAGGGAGTATTTCTCATTGCTGGCATGGCAGAACAGCACCCTCATGTCTTCCAAGGGTACCCATGGCTGCAGTGAGCCCAGATGCTCCCTGGCCCCACATCCTGGCTGCTCATCCTCCCCAGTATGTATCTGACACTCTGTGCAAACTGTTCTGATTCTCTGATTTCCAGCCTGTGAGACGCAGCTGCCCGTGTCCTTCAGGCACCTGATTCTGCCCGAGAAATACCCCCCGCCCACTGAGCTGCTGGATCTGCAGCCACTGCCTGTGTCCGCTCTGCGCAACAGTGCCTTTGAGAGCCTCTACCAGGACAAGTTCCCCTTCTTCAATCCCATCCAGACCCAAGGTGGGTACTGACCCAGCTTCCACCCAGGCTGCTGCTCTCACCTGGGTTCTTCTGCCTGACCCTGCCTTCTCTTGCTGCCCCGGCTTTGGGAAGGAGCAGGCTGCTGGGTTTTGTCCAATTGCTGAGCCTTCTGGGAAACAGAACGGGCCCCTGCGATGATATAAGCAGAGCATACTTTGCCATAGCCCCATTTCCATTTCCCAGATGTGGCATCTGATAACAGGGATGTCTGGAGCTACAGCAGTTAGTGCTCCTGGCAGTAGTGGAAGGGTTTGTTTCAGGGCTTTGCCAGCTTCTTACTACTGAGGGTGGGAATAAGGACATCAGAATAGATCGTACAAGAAGCAAGGGGCTTAAACTGCAGCAAGGGAGGTTTAGGTTGGACATTAGGAAAAAGTTCCTGACTGTCAGGGTGGTCAAACACTGGAATAAATTGCCCAGAGAGGTTGTGGAATCCCCATCGCTGGAGATATTTAGGAGTAGGTTGGATAGATGTCTATCAGGGACGGTCTTGACAGTACTGGGTCCTGCCATGAGGGCAGGGGACTGGAATCGATGACCTCAAGGTCTCAACTTCTGGTGGCTCTGTACTGAAATCCAGCTGCCCTCTGGGAGTGGGGGTGGCTTTGGCTCAGTGCTTTTGTCAGGAGTTCAGCGAGCAGGGATAACCATGTGTCGGGTCTCTTGGCAGTGTTTAACACTGTCTACAACAGTGATGACAATGTGTTCGTGGGCGCCCCCACGGGAAGTGGAAAGACCATCTGTGCGGAATTTGCCATCCTGAGGATGCTGCTGCAGAACTCGGAGGGGCGCTGTGTTTATATCACCCCAATGGAGGCCCTTGCTGAGCAGGTGAGACCCTGACTCCTGCGTGTGGGTTGGATTCCTCCTCCCTGTCTTCCTGCCCTGGTCCCTTCCTCCCCTCAGTCTGAGGCAGTCCACAGAAACTGCAGGGTGATCCCAGCCAGGCTCTGGCCCTTGGCTAACGGTAGTGCCTGCTGTCCCCTGGCAGGTCTTCCTCGACTGGTACGAGAAGTTTCAGGAGCGCCTCGGGAAGAAAGTGGTCTTACTGACCGGGGAGACCAGCACCGATCTCAAGTTGTTGGGCAAGGGCAACATCATCATCAGTACCCCCGAGAAGTGGGACATCCTCTCTCGGCGCTGGAAGCAGCGCAAGAATGTCCAGAACGTCAGCCTCTTCCTCGTGGATGAAGTGCATCTCATTGGGGGCGAGAACGGGGTATGGGCTGGGGGCTGCCTTGGCACACCGTGCCCCTGAGTCCTCTCGGCGCTGCCCCACACCTCAGCTCAACGTGGGGCCCAAAGAAAGGGCTTCAGGGGACCTATACCAGAGGGGAGGCTGATCTTGTCCCTGCTGTCTAATCTCACTGGGGCCAGCAGCTCTTCAAGGGCTCCCCGGGGCATGCCCCTTGCCTGTAGCTACTGGGTTCTGCATCAGGCGAGCTAGGGACTGATAAACCAGTGGAGGTGGGAGGGAAGGGCCTGGCCCTCTCTGCAGGAAGCCCTGCAACTAGCTCAGGGTCCACATGGAGGCCCTGGTGTGATGCTCCTCACTGAGAAGCTCCCTGGGGAGAGCTCCCCACCTGCTGTGACCTGCCCACTTCTCCATTGGCAGCCTGTGCTGGAGGTGATCTGCTCCCGGATGCGCTACATCTCCTCCCAGATCGAGCGGCCCATCCGCATCGTGGCCCTGAGCTCTTCGCTGTCCAACGCCAAGGACGTTGCCCACTGGCTGGGCTGCAGTGCCACATCGACCTTCAACTTCCACCCCAATGTGCGCCCTGTGCCCCTAGAGCTGCACATTCAGGTAGGGACCTAGGAGCCCCACACCCCAGAGCTTCAGTTGGGGCCTTCACCAATCACTGTTCTGGCTCCTCTCTTCTCAGGGCTTCAACATCAGCCACACGCAGACCCGCCTGCTGTCCATGGCCAAGCCGGTCTATCATGCCATCATGAAGCACTCGCCCAAAAAGCCCGTCATTGTCTTTGTCCCGTCACGCAAGCAGACACGCCTCACAGCCATAGACATCCTCACCACCTGTGCCTCCGATGTCCAGCGGCAGAGGTACTGGGGTGGGGTTCTCGGGGGACTGGGCGAGCATTGGATTTTTCTTTCTTGTCCCTTCTCTGAGCCTTCCCAGCAAGGGGCTGGCAGACTCCATGCGAGTGAGAGGAGCCCAAACAAAGGTGTGAGTTTTTTGTAGTCACTGAACTTGCACTGATCCAGCCTATAAGTGAATAAGGAAAAGTTATTTACTTATTCCCACGATACAAGAACTAGGGGTCACCAAATGAAATTAATGTGCAGCAGGTTTAAAACAAAAGGAAGTTTTCTTTACTCAGTGCAGTCGAACTCCCTGCCAGAGGATGTGGTGAAGGCCAGGACTTGAACAGAGTTCAAAGAAGAGCTAGCTAGATTCCTGGAGGTTAGGTCCATCAGTGGCTATTTGCCGGGATGGGTAGGAATGGTGTCCCTAGCCTCTGCTTCCCTGGAGGAGTGACAGGGGCGGGATCACATGACCTCTGGGCATCTGGTATTGGCTGCTGTCAGCAGACGGGATACTGTGCTGTGACCCAGTATGGCCGTTATGTTCTAAGGGTGGGCATCATTCCCCTGGCTTTAATGGATTCCCCTTCTAGCCTGTCTCCTTAGCCTCCAATTGCAGGCTCAGTCCTGGGGGAGATTCGCCTTCCCTCCTGCCAGACTCCAGTGTTGTTGTGTGCTGTTACAAAGCCACTAGGTTCCATCCCAGAGGTGGCTGTCCTTCAGGCTGGGTTAAATGATCCATGTGTGTATCTCCTGTAGCCCCCCAGGCACTGAGAGCTTATGATGAGGCCTCTGCAAAACAAGGGTGTGGAGTTCTGCCCACTGTACCAACAGAGATGGAAACCTAGAGGGAATTGATTCTGTCTGGGTCTGTAGCTGAGCCAGGACTGGAATCCAGGTGACTAGCTCTTGGTCTCCCCAACTCCTCTGGGAGCTGGGAATGGCCCTAGCAAGCCAGGCTCTGCTGTCAGGTCCAGCCGGTTAAGCCCCAGAAGGTGTTTGAGGATGTAGGAGCTGCTCTGCCTCGGGGGTGCACAGGAACGGTTCTGAGGCTCTCTGCTGTGCCCTGATGGCCACCTCTGTGCTCTGCTTCTCCCTGCAGGTTTCTGCACTGCACAGAGAAAGACTTGGGGCCGTACCTGGACAAGCTCCGTGATGGCACCCTCAAGGAGACCCTGGTCAGTGGGGTGGCCTATCTGCATGAGGGGCTGACAGCCATGGAGCGGCGCGTTGTGGAGCAGCTCTTCAGCTCTGGTAAAGGGATGGAGCAAGGGCATGTTTGGTCACATGTTGCTCTCACTCCCATCCTGCATGGGGTTGTCGACTACTTGATTAACTGATAAACATAAGCTTATCGGGTAGTCGAGTGGAGTACTCAACTACTCGCTTTTCTCCCCACCTTTGCTGTCTCTGCTGTGCTGCCTCCCACCCCCTGCCCCTGGCTGCCTCTATTGGAGGCAGCAGCCCCTGTCTGTGGGGATCCCAGCAGGGAGCTGGGCCTTCTCGAAGATGGAGGCAGGGGCTGCTCCAGCAGTAGCTTCTGGCCATGGCCAGCCTAGGCTGCCTCAAACAGGCTGCTGGACTCTGTACGAGCCAGGACTGAGCAGTCCCAGCTTGTGCTGGTCTGAGATGCTGTGCCTCTGCATGTTAAATGTAATAAGAGCTCAGCAGCTCCAGCTGGCTCCGGGAGCTACCTCCACCGCAGCTCTGCAGAGTGGTCCCTTATTGACTAATCACATAGCTGATACAAATTGTATTGACTACACGATTAGCCAGATAACTGCAATTTAATACCTGCCAAAGTGGCAGATCTAAGAAGAGGCCCTTGGTGTTTGGCCTCCCTGCTCTGTGCTCGCTTCCTCTTTGTAACTCGTTGCCCGGTGAGCTTTGCCGGAGCTCCATATGCAGTACTTGTCCATAAGGGCTCATGCTGCTGCTCGGTGCCCAGGTTCCCAAGCAGCTGGCTGCCGGGGCAGAAGGGCCCTGTCTCTTCCTGCAAGCACTGACCTGGCTGCAGCTTCATGGCTGACTGCTCCATGCTCGCTCTTAGGTGCTGTCCAGGTAGTGGTGGCTTCGCGGAGCCTGTGCTGGGGCATGAATGTAGCTGCTCACCTAGTGATCATCATGGACACTCAGTACTACAATGGCAAGATTCATGCGTGAGTATCCCTGTGCGGGGGACAGGAGATGCAAGGCAGAGCAGGGAGTGGCTGGTCCCCATGGTGCCCCATTCCTGGCTATTTGGCTGGCAGCTGGTTCACTGCAGACTGGACACTTTCTCCTCTGGTCTCAGGTATGTGGATTACCCCATCTATGATGTGCTGCAGATGGTGGGCCATGCCAATCGCCCTTTGCAGGATGACGAAGGGCGCTGCGTTATTATGTGCCAGGGATCCAAGAAGGTGAGGAATGAAGCGGGGGGGGTGGTGTGTGCATGTGTTTGGACCTCCCAGCTAGGGCAGGAATTTCCTGTCCTAGCACTGATCAGGCTGGCCCAGGCCTTTATCTGGGGAACAGACTAACTTGGCTGAAATGCTGCAGTGGGTAAAACACCAGGGCTGTGTCCAGACTGGCAAGTTTTTCTGCAAAATAATCTGCTTTTGCAGAAAAACTTGCCAGCTGTCTACACTGGCCGCTTGAATTTCCGCAAAAGCACTGACGATCTCATGTAAGATTGTCAGTGCTTTTCCGGAAATACTATGCTGCTCCCATTCGGGCAAAAGTCTTTCTGAAAGACTTTTGCGCAAAAGGGCCAGTGTAGACAGCACAGTACTGTTTTCTGCAAAAAAGCCCCGATTGCGAAAATGGCCATCGGGGGTTTTTTGCGGAAAACCACGTCTAGATTGGCCACGGACACTTTTCCTCAAAGTGCTTTTGCAGAAAAGCATCCTGCCAATCTAGACGTGCTTTTCCGAAAATCCTTTTAACGGAAAAGTTTTCCGTTAAAAGCATTTTCGGAAAATCATGCCAGTGTAGACGTAGCCCATGTGCTGCTATAGCACCTTAGTCCTAGGAATTTTACAAACCACGTGATAAAAATCACTTCTGCGGCTCCCTCAGGAGCAATGGAGAGCAGTGCTAGAGCCCTGTTTAGAACGAGCACTGTCTCATTCCCCTGATAGCACTGATCCCCTCCCTTCCCCACTGTTCCCTGTAAGCTGTGCACTTGAATTGCTCAGGAGAGATCCAAGTGCGGCCCAGCTGATTAGCAGAGCGCCCACAGCGAGGTTTGCGCTTCTCCTGGTGGTGCACGTTCACACACGCCTCGTTGAACACAATACCATTATTCCACAAATGGATGGAAAAGATTAGCACGACCATTGCTCCCCACTCCTCCTTTGGATGTGTTCCCTGAGTTTGGAAGTGGGCTGTGCCTGGGGCACAGACTGCAGTTCCTCCTCCAAGTCCCTGGGCAAGGTCCTGCTGCTCTCCAGAACATGCTGCTTCATGCCACTGAAGAGGGAGGCTCAGCAGAGGGGCTATTTCACCAGTGGATGGTGTCACTTTCCCAGAGTTTCACACCTGCTTGGTCTGGGTCCATTCTCCTCGCTGCAGGATTTCTTCAAGAAATTCCTTTATGAGCCGCTGCCAGTGGAGTCGCACCTGGATCACTGCATGCATGACCATTTCAATGCTGAGATTGTGACCAAAACCATTGAGAACAAGCAAGATGCTGTGGACTACCTCACCTGGACCTTCCTGTACCGCAGGATGACCCAGAACCCAAACTATTACAACCTGCAAGGTGAGCTGCTGAGGAGGGGGCAGCTGGCATTTCCAGCACTGACCCATTCTCTCTGGCAGGCTTGGGCAGTGATGAGTGGGTGGCTGTACTCCAGCATTGCAAAGCCCCACATTCTACTGCCTTATCTGCCTGACCCAAGCCTTCTGTGTTTGCAGGGGTGTCTCACAGACACCTGTCTGACCACCTGTCTGAGCTGGTGGAGCAGACCCTCAGTGACCTGGAGCAGTCCAAGTGTATCAGCATCGAGGATGAGATGGACGTGGCCCCCCTTAACCTGGGAATGATTGCAGCCTATTACTACATTAACTACACCACGATTGGTAAGGGACCCATCTGGGAGGGCAGTCGCACAGTGCGCACTGCTGCTTCTGCCTGGAGGGGGAGGGTAGTGGGACCTTGGGGGTGGGGTATGGTGTGCTGGCCTGTCTGTCCTCCAGGATGGCCACACTGCAGAGCCCCACACTCTCGTTGATGCTGCATAGAATGATCTGCCCCTTGGACACTTGATTCCATGCCCTTGAGCCAGCTGCTGGATCTGCCCTGGGACACGGGCTATCTGCTGCTGCCTGGCTCCACTGACACCTCCCTGCCTTGGCTCCCCAGAGCTCTTCAGCATGTCTCTGAATGCCAAGACGAAGGTGCGTGGGCTGATTGAGATCATCTCCAACGCTGCTGAGTATGAGAACATCCCCATCAGGCACCACGAGGACAACCTCCTGCGGCAGGTGAGCATGGGCCATGGCCAGGTGCAGGGGCTTCTCGCTTGCACACTGAAAGGAGAAGGGTGGCTGTCTGCACAGCTGCTGAGCCTGCTCCTAGGCCAGCTGGCTCCTGGAGCTGTTACTGATGGCTTCAGGAGAGAAGCCCTGTCTGTGCAATGAGGCTCTGGTCCCCTGTGGCAGGGGAAGCTGGCTCTGGGAGTGGATATAGGCTCTGGCCTGCTTGGCCATGCAGGCTCTCTGCTTGGAATGGCCAAGGGGCCAACCTGCTTGCTCTCTCTTCCCAGTTGGCTCAGAAAGTCCCTCATAAACTGAATAACCCCAAGTTCAACGACCCCCACGTCAAGACCAACCTGCTGCTGCAGGCTCACCTGTCCCGCATGCAGCTGAGTGCGGAGTTGCAGTCTGACACGGAGGAGATACTCAGCAAGGTACGGGGTGGGGGCCGGTTCAGTGTTTAGAGCCAAGTTGGTGTGCTCAGGCCTCTGCCTGCCTTCCTCACAGGGTGTGTGGTAGGGGAGGGAATGTGCAGCAGGGCTGGTCTGAGCTAGCTGAAGTCTCCTCCTGTACCACGCTCTCCCTTCCAGGCAATCCGCCTGATCCAGGCCTGTGTGGACGTCCTGTCCAGCAACGGCTGGCTCAGCCCGGCCCTGGCAGCCATGGAGCTGGCCCAGATGGTCACCCAGGCCATGTGGTCGAAGGACTCGTACCTGAAGCAGCTGCCTCACTTCACTTCGGAGCACATCAAGCGCTGCACAGACAAGGTGAGAGTGGGCACTGGGGAGTCCAGGTGGCAACGTGGAGCCTGGGCTAGATGCTGCTTGTTTGAGTCGGAGCCTGGGACCAGAGGGTGCTGTTGACGCACCCTGCCTGGGGTAGGGAGGTGGTGCAGGCTGTGTGCCTGCTACTGCAGACAGTCCAGGAAACGTTCAAAGTCCCACAGCTTTGCTCAGTGCCTGGCTTGGGTGTGCTTCCTCGCAGGGGGTGGAGAGCGTGTTTGACATCATGGAGATGGAGGACGAGGACCGGAATGTGCTGCTGCAGCTCTCAGATGCCCAGATCGCCGACGTGGCCCGTTTCTGCAACCGCTACCCTAACATCGAGCTCTCCTATGAGGTGGTGGAGAAGGAGGGCATTCGCAGGTGCGTGGGAAGTCCTGGCAGCATCACTGGTGTCCCTGGGGGCTGAAGGCAGGCACTGGGTGGCATCCCTAACCTTGTTTCTGTCTGCAGTGGAGGCCCGGTGGTGGTGCTGGTGCAGCTGGAGCGAGAGGAGGAGGTCACAGGACCTGTCATTGCACCTCTCTTCCCACAGGTATGTTGGAGCACTTGCAGGGGGAATGCTGCCTTCCTGGCCATGGTCTGGAGCAGTCCCCACAAACCAAGCTGATTGGAGTCCCTGAGCCAGCCCAGGGAGCCCTCGCTGGCTGACCTGCTGGGAGAACTGTAGCGCCCCCAAGCAGGGTGGCTGCCTTTAGTCTCCCCGCTGGCTGGCTGTAACTGCCATGAGGGAAGGTGGGCCATGGGGAGGGAGGTAGGGACTGGGACTGCTAACCACTGGCCTCTTTTGTTGTTGTCTGCAGAAACGGGAGGAGGGCTGGTGGGTAGTGATCGGCGACTCCAAATCCAACAGCCTCATCTCCATCAAGAGGCTGACTCTGCAACAGAAGGCCAAGGTGAGCTGTGGGGTGGAGGGAGGGGGACTTAGCACAGCCCTGCCGTGGGGGCCCTGGCACATCAGGGCTGCCTCCCAGCAGGGACCCTGGCAATGGGCCAGCTTGTATCTTTCCACTCTGGGCTCCAGAGGGTGGCACAGACTACACCGGAGCCAGTTCTGGAACAGTCCTGTGCCTTCCTGGAGGAAGCCAGGCTTAGTACCTGCTGCAGTACTGCCGGCAAGGGCTGGGGACCGTGGCTTGTACCTGCAGGCAAGCAGGAGTAGAGAGCGGTATAGCCATGGCAGCAAGGCCTGACATCCTCAGAGCTGAGCTAAGCTTACCCTGCGCCACAAGCTAAGTACGTGGCCTGGCTCACCGCAGCTGTGCTTCTGTTCATACTCATGCCAGTTCTCATCGGGCATGTGTACTTGGGCTGGGAACCAGCTGTCTTGGCTCTGCCACTGCCTCAGTGACCCTGGGAAGTCACAACGTATAGCCATGGCAGCAAGGCCTGACATCCTCAGAGCTGAGCTAAGCTTACCCTGCGCCACAAGCTAAGTACGTGGCCTGGCTCACCGCAGCTGTGCTTCTGTTCATACTCATGCCAGTTCTCATCGGGCATGTGTACTTGGGCTGGGAACCAGCTGTCTTGGCTCTGCCACTGCCTCAGTGACCCTGGGAAGTCACAACCTCGCCGCCCCCC